TTTATACAGAATTAGTTTAACGTTAATTTTTGTCTAATTTGGGCAGAAATCAAATATAAATTTAGGCAAAATTAGAGTATAAAATTTAGGCAGAATTAGGTTTAATTTAGGCTAGGATTGAGATAACTTACCGGTCAAATGAAATGTCGATCTGAATCATATCAGATATTGTATAACTTAATAATACGTATTACTATAAATTTGAACTCAAAATTGAAAAATTTAGGTTCCTGCTTTATTTTAGATTGCAAATTGTATTTATATGAATTTAATATATTCATAATAATCTACTGTTATTATGTTTTTTACAACTAAAAGTTTCTTTATAGAAAGTTGTTTTATTGGCTCACGATCACAAGATAAAAGATCCTAGAATTATGATTAATATGTAGAACTAAAACGTGAAGCTATGACTTATTCGTTCTTAAAATACGATTCTTGGTCAATACACCTTGCAATAAAAAAAGATGAATCTCAGACTGTACTCTTACCAACAAAAATTTCTCAAGTTCTTATCGATTGTATTGATTGTGATATTAGTCGATTTCGCACAACAAAAACTTAATTTAATAAAATTTATTTTTATTAAATTTGATAAAGTTTTGGTTGAGTTATTTTTTGTTTAAAGTTTCAAAAAAATTTAGAAAAAATTTGCTTGATTTCTATTGACCCAACCTCATATACTTGCTGCATGGGAATATCATAGAAGAGGAAAAGAAGTGATCTAAAATATTAACTGATTTGAATTATCAAAAATGCATTTTTTCAAAGCATCAGCCATGAACTTAAAAGTATTGATTTATAATGCTCTTTTAGGGATGTATTGCATAAACAGACATGTCTTTTATTATTTTTTTTTTACGATTACTATAGAACCATTAATTTTAATGCTTTCACCACTTGACGACGTAATTAATGTATGTACACAAGAAGCCGTATCTTTAAACTATACGACGTAACACTCATCGATTACTTAACATTAAACTTAATTAACATTTTATTACAAGTAAATTATACATATCTCAATCCTATAATAAATATCTAATAATTACTATTCTGAACTATTATATTTAAGTCAATTCGTTTCCTATGCAGTTTTCAAATTTAAAAGCTAACTCTAGAATTGGCTTCAGACCTTAAAAATATAGCCAAACATTAAGCTTGGGTTACAATATTGACTAGACGAATTTAATCAAGGCAGTGAGTGATAAATACTTGGACCATGATATATAAACAAATTATTATCTTTATTACAGATTATTATAACATTTGATTATTATTATTGTCAATGCTAAATTTTTCTTATGCTGATTGTTACTCCAATACCTACGAATTCGTGGCAAAGTCCACCCTTTATCTTGACTAGTAAGTTGCTCTAGAATTTTTAATGCTTTGACTTAAGGAAAACTTTTATTATTAAGTATAGTATTAAGAATCAAATATAAAATACAAAAAGAAAATCAACAATTTAAACCTTGTATTAATCAACAAAAATTATAAGCTTTATACAAAGTATGTTATTTTTGACTAATACATCTAACACATACTTTATTTTTTTTTTTATTTTTTTTTTTTTTTTTTATCTTTTGCTATTTTTTTTCTCATTTTTTTTAAAAAAAATTTCAATAAACAAAAAAACAACCCAAATATAAAACTCTTCTAATTTGGTCTTCCC